CCTGCCACAGGGAAAGTTCTGTCATTATTTACAATATTACTACATTGTACTTTTATAATAAAAAATAGTTCCATTTTGATAATTCAAAGGGAAAGAAAGAAGCCCAGTTTTGTACCTAACTTCATTCCATACTCCTGGGCCAAGCTGTTCCCTCCTCAACACCCTTTCTGCTTTGTCTTTGGTAAACGGGGTTCCTCTTGAATCTCCTCTACTACCTTCTTCTCTGCTCTCAATAGGCATAACCCCAGGGGCTGGCGCATGGCACAGCAGATAAAGTTGTTGCCTAGAGTGCGTGCATCCTATGTGGGCGCCACTTCAAATCCCAGCTGCTCTACTTCTGATCCAGCTCCCTGCTAATATACCTGGAAAACAGCAGAAGAGGGCCCAAGTGCTTGGGACCCTGTACCCACTCGGCTCTTGGCTTTAGCCTGGCCCAGCCCTGACCATTGTGGATATTTGGGGGGTGAACCAGCAGATGAATGATATCTCTCTCCCTATTTGTAATTCTGCCTTTTGAATAAAACAAATAAATTTTTTTTAAAAAAAAGGCATGCCATTGAGAAATGTTTTTAGCACTATTAGTCCTCTCCTTCAATGCCCAGATTTCACACCAAGATGACACTTATAATCCCAGCTACTGGTCACGGAAGACAAGCTTTCAAGTCTTCTCATATTTTAGCAATATTATATGACAGCCGAATTAACAGCATCATGTTGAGAAACAGCAATTTTTAAAAACATCTTCATAGTACTCAACATTTGCCACTCCCTACTAGTGACTTCTGTCCAGTCTGAGGCCCCACCATCTAAGAAATCTGTGAGAAGCATGGGGAAGCAGCTTACCAGATAACCAAGAAGACAATTTGAAGACTGCAGATTATGGGTAAATAAGACAATGCCTTTCCTGGGAAAGACAAGCCTGACTAGACATCACACAGTTCTACAGGTAGACAGGAGATGGCACCGACAATGATGCAACATTTTGCTTCTTCATCCCCCATGAGCGATTGGGGGTAACCGACCTAAGCAATCCCCACTTAACCCACAAGCATTCCTAAAAAGATCCCACAAAAACAGAGCAGACTGCCTCCCTCCATTCACTATTATGGCCTTGAGGCCTGACATTATTCTCCCCTGCACAAGATAACATCCATTGTCTTGGCCAGGTGATTGTTGACTCAATTACATTCCATAAGACTATGAATGGCAAATTTTACATTAAACCATGTATCTTAGCAAAATAAAAAATGTTTTACCGAAAACAAAATATATGAAAACTTCTGGAAACAGAGAGACGAGCAGGTTATTAAGAGAGAACTGTTTAAGGCACATTTTGGATGGCTACGCCTGAACTGACAATGCAGCAAAGCACAAAAACGTGAGGCTCCTGATGGCAGGAGTGTCCTCACAGTGACAGCTGCCCAGCCAAGGATTAGGAATGGCTCTCGGTGCCAGTGTCAGCGTCCCATATGGGTGCCAGTTCTAGTCCCGGCTGCTCCACTTCCCACCCATCTCTCTGGCCTGGGCAAGCAGTAGAAGATAGTGCAAGTCCTTGGGCCCCTGCACCCACGTAGGAGACCAGGAGGAAGCTCCTGGCTCCTGGCTTCAGATCAGCACAGCTCTGGCCACTGCAGTCAATTGGGGAGTAAACCAGTGGATGCAAGACACTCCTCTCTTTCTGCCTCTCCTTCTTTTTCTATGTAACTCTGACTTTCAAATAAATAAATAAATAAATCTTAAAAAAAAAAAAAAAAGGAATGGCTGTCTTTCTCTGAGGGCCCAACATCAGCTGGAAGTCTCAGAAATGAGGAATAAGGACTAAAACAATTCCTGCTTCCTGAGCTGCTTCTGGCCAGCCACTGCACGCAGTACTTGTAAATACAGTCACCAAGGTCTCCCAGCAAACCCCATGAAGAAGGCACTGCATTCCTGTTCCTCACGGGTGTGGACAGCAGGCAAGGAGGGGCACAAGTTTACCACAGCAAAGTGTGAGGTGAAACCAGGAAGGGAAAAACAGTAACCCCACAGTTCATGTTTTTGTTATTACACAATGCTGGTTCTATGCAGCTTGGCCCTGCCTCATATGCCTCAATCCACAGATCATCTCTTCTTTTGTGAATGCATTACATATAACCCTTCACCAACACATGACAATTATGGCCTTCAGGATTAGCATCAAAATTCAGCTTCCCGAAGGAAAAACAGAGAAAGGAATCCTTGAAAATCAACTTTATACCACTCCAGAGTATATTCCAGCAGTCACATGTTTTCATAAATATATTGATGGAAATTTCCAGTCAATATATGAGCATTAGATCATCTCTCTTCATTACAGTCAGTGCCATGAAACCCATGCTAACATTTATTTATTTATTTATTTATTTATTTATTTATTTTTGACAGGCAGTTAGTGAGAGAGAGAGAGACAGAGAGAAAGGTCTTCCTTCCATTGGTTCACCCCCTAAATGGCCGCTACGGCCAGGCGCACCACGCTGATCCGAAGCCAGGAGCCAGGTGCTTCCTCCTGGTCTCCCTTCATGCTAACATTTATAAAATACCTACTTCATACAAGGTCACAGTCTGAGTAACATGCAAGAATACTAAAAGATTAGAGTCCATACATTTTGCCTCCAAGAGCTTGTAATTTTAGGATCAGAGGTAAGGCAAACACACAAAGAGTGCTAAAGAACAAAGATGGAATACAAATGTGCAAATCAACTAACATAATGCAAACACTTAAGTGCTACAGAAATAAAGTAAAGAATTTATTTGCGCACTGAAGTTCCAGGATCATTGTTCAGGTAATCAATACGTGATTGTAAAGATAAGAAACACCAAGACATCTTCAGATAATCAATACAGACTTATTGTTAAGCTCATTTTAAATACTATCTAAACTCTAATCAATTTCAAAAGGCAGAATTTATGAACGAATATAAAAATTAATAAGATAAAGTGGCTATAAATTTTCTTACTATCATGTATCTCAAGAGCCCTTCATTATCATGATTTCTTGACTCTTTTTTTCAACTGGCTATACCAAGACAAAAATTAGCATCATGAATACAACCAGGCTCTAAACACATAAAAGCCAAACCAACCAAGTCAAGGCCAGACAGGAAAGAGAAAATAAGAAATAAACAGAAATATGCTTTCTAAAAGCCAGAGATGATGAAGCCACACAACTGGAGCTTTCAGCTGGGTGAAGCATAGTTTATCTTGGCTGATATTAATATTCACAATAGTTCGTTCTGAGAGCCACGTTCCTATTCCTTCAAGTTAAATACAGACATAACCCTTCAGTCCATATCTGATCTGATACAACTGTAGGAATCCGAGTCAATGCAGACTTTATCCTTCTCTCCTCGTCAGGGCCCCTGTCACTCTCCAAGGAACCCTCAGCAGCACTGAGATATGGAATCTTCACTAAATTTCTTGTCCCTATCATTTTAATCCATTCAAAACTTCTCTGATAAAACAGCAACTGCCAGACCTGAGACACTTTAGTCTCTCTTTAGGGAAATGAAATTGATTTTTCATCATTTTCACACAAGAGGATCCCTAGGTAACAATATTATGACCAGTCATACTTGAGATTTAAAAAAAAATAAAAAAAAGTAGGCAAGACTGTAAGGCTCTGTGGAGTTCCTGTGGCACAGGTAAGAACTGAGGCTTACCTGTTAGACCAAGAGCTCAACAAGCGTAAGGGTGACTTCTGACCATGAGACTAAGTGCTATGGGGCATCCTCATGTCACAAGGGAAAGGCTCCAAATCAGTCACAAGGGAAGACCAGTTGAGATCACAGGCAAGGACAGGGAAGAGTGTAAATCAACTCCACATTCTCCCTGGTCTATACCCACAATACCCCTTCCCTTTTCTTCCTGCAGCACCTAAATAAACGAACCTATCACTTTCTGACTTTGGACTTCTGACTTTAAGATTAAGAATATCTGAGGGCAATTTCCAGCAGGAAAACAAGAACAAAAATTTCAGGAGGCTTTAACCACCTTTGCCAGCTCACAAGCTTACTAATTCATAAGGGTTTGGTAGAACTGCAGGAAGAAGGCTGCTGTGACGGCTTATACCTAAAGGGAGAATATGAAATATCAGAACAGTCGCTTTTTGATACCTTTTAAAAACGATCTTACCTGGGGCTCTAATCCCTAACAATAATAAAAGCTGAGCTGCTCTGGTTGAAGAAGGGTTTGAGTTTGCACCCAACCTGCTAAGCTTCCCTTGCCCTAAAACCAACCCCCTTCAAATACTTGTCCTGCCAAATCCCATTGGATAGCCACTGATACAGAATAAGAACACAGATGTTCAGAACATGCACAATGGCATTCAGAACTCTTCACCTGGCCTTGGACACTTCCAGGGAGGGCTCTAGAAATATCTCCTCCTAATGAGAACTCTGCTTTCAATGTAGAACAGTTAAAAAGCACTCCTAGGTATACCCCAAGCCTGTTTCCCACTCTACCTTCCATTAAGTATGTAACTGCTTTTTGATGTACAGGGTTTCACCAATAAGAAAGTTTACTTTGAGCCTCAGATGAGACCTAAGACTACAGAATTCTAAATTATTGTTAGCCTGAGCTAAGACTTTGGGATGGAATGATTTTATGCTGAATGTGAGGACATGAGTTTTGGGGAACCAAGAATGTTAAGGACTGGGCCAAGATCAAAGCCAAGGAGATGAGAACTCAATCCAAGTCTCCCAAGTGGGTGTCTGGAAACTGAAAACCTAAATTATCATATCTGCCTTCCAAGGTCTGCCAGAATCAAAAGCTAGAAGTGGACATCAAATCCAGGTCCTGTGATACAGAACACAAGAATCGCAACTGCTAGACCAAATGCCGTCCCCCTACAAAATAGGGATGCGTTTGGTAATTGATACCCTGAAAAATGCTTCTTCTGTGAGATAGAAAAATGCAGTCTGGGTTGTAAAGTCCTCTTCTCCCCATATAAAAATCAAAATCAATTATTGACCAAGAAAACTCACCGGCAGACACGGGCTGGAAAATACAACTTTTGCCAAGAACGACACAGATATTGCGAATGATCTATCACTCTGATCCAGTCAAGTTCATCCATTGACACTTCAATGAAGTATGAGTAAGACCTGATGATAAGAATCAAAAGGAAAAAGACAGAAAAAAATCAAATTCAAATAAAACATTAAAAGATATAAAAAATATGGACATCACTAATTAAATTTTCCAAACAATTAAATTCTACTAACAATGAAAGCCAAATATATCCCTGTATTGTAGCGTTCGGTGCAATGCACTGAAATTATCTTTCAGTTTGTCTGTCTGCCTTATTAAATCATAAAACTGCGTAAGAACAAGGACCACACCATATTCATCTTCATCTCCCTAGGGCCACAGTGCTTGCAACATATCTAGCATGTAAGACATCTGCTCCTTTTCAAACATGGCCAGAATGTCATGCTCATAGCATATTAGCAGACTAATAAGACCATGCTTGAGAGAAAAAGAGAAAGAATAGGGGAAAGGAGAGAACAGGGAGGTTATCTTCTCTCTGTGCAGTCTCTGGGTAAATGCTCAGCTCTCCTATCTCAGGAAGAAAACCAACTTGCAATGATTCCCCACAGATGCCAACTTATCTCCTGCCACCTCCTACTGTCCTACTACCCCACACATACAAGCTGTCTGCACAAAAATAAATGATTTGGGGGAACATAATACGTGTTTCTTTTGGGTACAACTCGAAATCTGCCAGCTAATAATCTGGATGTAATGAAAACAGCCCATCATCCTCCCCTAGTCAGTCACCCTGGACCATTACACGCTGGTCCCACACTGAACCAATCTATATTCCCCTGTCATAAGCCAAATTTAAATTGGAGATGCAGTTATTACTTGTACTGTAATATCAACAGGAACAATCTCAGAAGATTTAGGTGACCATAAATGTCAGCCTGCAACCCACAGTTGTGACCAGAAAAGGTCAGCTTGCTTTGTGTCATCCCCTCATTTTCTGCTGTCCCTCACTTCCATTCATTTTATCGCCCAGTCTCAAACTGGTTATAACCTTTTATTGAACCTCTCTGGGTTATCAGTAATGCAGGATATAATTTTACAACATGTCAGAATCTTTTTGGCATAAGATTCTGATTTTTTTCACCTTTGCTTAGAATGATAACAATTTCTCTGAGAAAAGAACAGTTATGTGGTTAAGTCCCCCGTGAATGTAACACACATACTAAAACAAAGTGGCCTGTAAATACTTAATGTCGTGGAAGAGACAAAAACTATTTGTCTCAAACATTCTAATATTTTATTATTTTTGCACTGATTTCATTATTAGATGAGTGAAACATAGAAAGCTTTTAGACCAGTGACTACCACATAAAAGTAATTAAAATGCCAAATAAGTATCATTATTATATTATTCTTAGTAATCAGAGATTCTTGGAAGCACATGAATTGGCACTACTTTCTCAATTAAATATCAAAATATAGCCAACAAGACACATGCTGGGTAATGTATTCTTAATAAAGTAACAGGGAGAGAAAACTTTGGGACCGTGACCATCCATGGACCTGAGAAATGTGGGTTTCCATGTCATAAAGCTTCTCTCATCCTTGCCTCAATGGTCCAACAAAGGCAGGATGGTAGCCAGCGATTGTTAACAAGACAAACATGCAATACCCTGAAAGGCCTGCAGGGTGTCATCAAGACTACTGCTAAGCTCTCCAGGTCCAGACCCAAAGAGGCAGGAGCAGGGCCTACTTTCTGGGTATGTGGGGTGTAGGTTGTGAGCAGCAGCAGGGAGAGAGGGCTCAGTTCCTGCTCATCATACTGTTCTGGCACTTCTGCTACAGTGGGTGGACTCTAGCAGCCACTGCTGGTGAACCTATCACAGGGACAGATAGGAGCCAGAAGCCTGAAGCCACAGAGAAACCAGGTGGGTTCCCAGACTGGAGCCCAGTGAGTCTTTTCAAATATTTCTTTTATTTTGAGGATATTTATCCACAACAGTAGAAGAGTATTCTTTTCTTTTTCCATAGGACAAAATGCATCAAAAAATTATTATAAATACACAAAAGAAAGAAATCAAGTAAATAATGTTTATTCAGAAGGCAGAACACCAATCATGAAAAGTAACATTTTAGAGAGATACTTTAAAGGGAAGAATGTTCACAATGTATTCATTAAAACGTGAGGCTTTCTGAACATTGTATCTTTATTTTGTAAAACTATGTGTAGGTTTGTTTCTATTTTGTTTATGTGTAGGTATGTGTGTGTTGTGCCTGTATGTGTCTATACATAATAAAAAACCATTAGATACATATAAACACTAACAATAGGTGAGATTATCAGCAATTTTTACCTTCTTCTATGCCCTTTTCTATATTTTCCACAATAAACACATTAACTTCATTTATAAGCAGAAAATTATAAGAAGTTACTTTTAAAAAGAGTATGTCCTTTAACCCTTCCTTAAGAACTAGCCTTGGGCCAGCGCCACGGCTCACTAGGCTAATCCTCTGCCTTGCGGCGCTGGCACACTGGGTTCTAGTCCCGGTCGGGGCGCCAGATTCTGTCCCGGTTGCCCCTCTTCCAGGCCAGTTCTCTGCTGTGGCCAGGGAGTGCAGTGGAGGATGGTCCAAGTGCATGGGCCCTGCACCCGCATGGGAGACCAGGATAAGTACCTGGCTCCTGCCATCGGATCAGCACGGTGCGCCGACCGCGGTGGCCATTGGAGCGTGAACCAACGGCAAGGGAAGACCTTTCTCTCTGTCTCTCTCTCTTACTGTCCACTCTGCCTGTCCAAAAAAAAAAAAAAAGAAAAGAAAAAAAAAAGACCTAGCCTTCGAGAGAAACAGCAGTCATAATCCATCAAAATCTGTAAACCCAAGGTGGACAACCAGAGTCAGGTCATCTCAATCAAACAGAAGGTCAGTTTCTAAGTCATGCTGAGGACTCACCGGCTGTCCCGGTCCCAAAGGAGTATCCGTATGTGATTGATAATGGACGGCTGACCTAGCTTAATCTCAATGCCAGAACGGCAGTCATCATCAATTGGGTGCCTAGAAAATCCATGGTCCAAATCGTAATTTTGAGTATCACCATCTAATAAGGCAGATTTCAACTCCCCTTTTACAACCTGGGCTCCATACTTCATAGTTGCAATGTTTTCTTCTGGTACTACAATTAAAAACAGGAAAGGCAAAGTAAATGGTTATTATTAATATAGTTTTAGGGAAAAGGATAAAAATCTAGCATTCTAGTTGATTCTAGTATCAGCATTTTAAAATGGCATAAGCAACTCCATAGGGATAGAAGCCCTGGAATGACTATGAGGATGAAGATATTATCTGGAGTTTAAATTTAACATCACTATCACAGTCACCAAATGCCTGGAACTAATGTTACTAAGAAAAAGTTAATAATCCTAGAAAAAAAAAGTACTAGGACAAGTAGCTCTGTTAAGTTTTTTCTATTAGTTGTTTAATACCCAATGGACAAAAATCACATGTAAAATGACCTGTACCAGCCATTGGGACTGAGGACAGCATATAAAAGCAAAGCAGACCCGCTAGACTTCTGATAAGACAACAGAAAAAAAGGTTTCAATGCAGGATAGCTATTAGTCAAACATGCATGTGCTGAATCAATTAATCTAGCTTTAGAAAAATAAGATTACATTTAAAAGAAAAATATTCACTTGAGAATCTTTCAAAAATGAAAATATCAGTCATCAAAATCAACATTATGGTTACTATTAAATCTCTCCTTCTCCAACATGAGATTTATTAAGTGCAGTTGTAACTAGGCCTTTGAAGTCCTCTCTGAACATTAGCCCTCACAGATCAGGAAGTTGTCCTCCAGGTGCGAACATTCTGAATTCTGACGCTCTCTATGGAGAAGCGAGAGACTACATAAGATGTTAAGAGCTAGGCTGGTTGCTCCTCTTCCAGTCCAGCTCTCTGCTGTAGCCCGGGAAGGCAGTGGAGGATGGCCCAAGTGCTTGGGCCCTGCACCCACTTGGGAGACCAGGAGGAAGTGCCTGGCTCCTAGCTTCGGATTGGTGCAGCGCGCCGGCTGTAGCAGCCATTTGGGGGGTGAATCAACGGAAGGAATACCTTTCCCTCTGTCTCTCTCTCACTGTCTAACTCTGCCTGTCCCCCCCCCCCAAAAAAAAAGGGAGCTAGAAGAGGGGTTAGCACTGTGGCCTAGCAGGTTAATTCTGTACCTGCGGCCCCAGCATCCCATATGAGCACCAGTTCTAGTCCCAGCTGCTCTTCTTCTTCCAATCCAGCTCTCTGCTATGGCCTGGGAAAGCAGTAGAAGATGGCTCAAGTGCCTGGGCCCTTGCACCCACATGGGAGACATGAAGAAGCTCCTGGCTCTGGCCATTGCAGCCATTTGGTGAGTGAACCAGCGGAAGGAATATCTTTCTCTCTGTCTCTCCCTCTCTCTGTCTGTAATTCTGCCTATCAAATAAATAAATAAAATCTAAAAAAAAAAAAAAAAGAGCTAGAAGAGTGAGATCAAACATCATCTCTTCCTTTAATCAAGTGTATCACTTTGGGGAAGCAATCCACTCTTTAATTTCTCAGTAGGGCAATATATCTATCCCTGAAGGGTGGAAGGGTGGGAGAGGGGTGTGTATTTCTGTCCCCAAGAGTAAATGAGCACCATGTTTGCCCAACACACAGTGAGATGTAAAAATATAAAAATAAACATCATTGTTACAAAACATACATAAAAAAGCACACAGTAACAGGACTATGTAAGTTTACAGATGTAAATAAACACTGAATTCTGACAGCACACATACATCTTGGATGTGTGATTTGAAGAGGGAAAAGCAGGAACTCTAGTCAGACTCTTAGGGAAAGGACAGTAAGTAATTCATCATTGCAGATCTCTTGAAAAATTGATTTTCTGAAAAAATTTCAAATGAACAGAGGTAAAGAACGCTCCAGAAGAGGATAATAAATGCAGGTAAAACACAGAGGTTGAGGTGCAGGTTAGTTAACTAGCAAAAGATTGCAGCAACTCAGCAAAAACAAACAAAACCGCAGTCATGCTCAACTTCTCAACCACCAGAAGCTTAAGATCTGTCACCATCTCAGGTCTCCTGGCTGGTGATAATCATGCACCCCTTCCTTCTTAACAGACCTTATAAAATTCATACTATGTGCTAGACACTGTTCCAAGGACTTTACAGTTATTCCTTTTATTTACTCCTCAAAATAACCCTTAAAATGCAGTTCTACAATGACATTAATTTCACAGATGAAGAGTGGAGGGTCAGAAAAGTCAGATGGATTTACTTGCCCAAGGTTACACAACTAACAATGAACAGAGCTTAGAACCCAGGCAGCCTGTCCACAGGGGCCCTGTTATGCAAGGCTTTGCCTCTTCCCTCATGATGGGTTTCTGATGGTATGACCCACCTTGCTCTTCCTCCTAACCTCCCCTTCCATCTACAGCTGGCTAAGACCCAGAGGAAAGAAAGGATCTGATAAAATGAAAAGAAAACTGGACATGAAGTACAAAAATATAGGTTTGAGACTCAGGCTCCAACACTCACTATCTCCAAGGGAGGCCTGTGAATACCTCTTCTCATCTAAAAATAGTTTGCTCAAATCACTTCTCAGGGTTACTGTAAAAATTACACTCCAAATTACACTACTATACAAATTACACTGCTATAGCACTATAGCAGTATAAAGCATTTATTCCGACAAGCACTTCCGGAGGACTCATTCTGTAGCAGGTACATTGGAGGGATTTGGAGTGACTAAATGAACTAGACTGACATGGGGCATGCCTTCCTGATACCTCCAATATAAGATGAAGCACTTTATTAGCAAGCAAACAAACCAAAGCTTCCAACCTGTACTTTTCAGATATCAATGATACATAAGCACTTGGCAAAAAACATTCTTTCCCTTCTTGTTAGGTCTAAAATCTGCAGGTAGACTTTTTGTTGCTGCTGCCCATTGCAATCATCGACATTTTTTTTTTTTCTTAATTTTAGGCAGAGAGACAAACTGCTCATCCCCCCTAGTTCTGACACCAGGAGTCAAGAGTGAGCCGAAGAGGAGAACATCAAGTTTTCAGATTTAGAAACTTATTCCACCTTTTGATTTCCTCTAAACATAAGCTTCTTCGGCACTGAAATTTATCAAGCCAGGAATAACATGTCAGGCACAAGAGTTTCAAATAACTATAACTGAAGTCTAAAATAGAAATGAAATTTTTTCCACCAGTCTAAGTCTTCTTTTGAAGTTTATTTCAAGAGTGCTTGAGAACTTCTCTAGCCATTCTTGATACAAATTCATTCCCTGAGACTATCTTTCACTTCAAAATGGAGAATTTTTACAAGTGGAAATTCTCTCATGGTAACTATAATGTGAGTATCTCACTGGATAAAAATATAATTCAAGTATTTTTGGCAAAAATAGGAAAAGTGATGGGAAATTTAAATCACTAAATAATTTAAATCATTAATATACTTAGTGCCTATATTTGTCTATCAGTAGAGAACAGAGCTCTTAAATGGTGGGAATTAAACAAGATAATAGATAAGAATTATAATTTTCTTTACATTTATAGTTTTTAACACATTTTACAAACATTAAGTAAACAATTAAGCTTTGAAGTCCTTTTTTTTAAAAAAAAAAAAAAGATCCATTTTATTTATCTGAAAGACAGAGTTACTGAGAGGCAGAGAGAGAGAGAGAGGTCCACCCTCCTCTGGCTCACTCCCCAGATGGCCACAACGGTTGGAGCTGCGCCTATCCAAAGCCAGGAGCCAGGAGATTCCTCCAGGTTTCCCATAAAGGTGCAGGGGCCCAAGGACTTGGGCCATTCTCCACTGCCTTCCCAAGCCATAGCAGAGAGCTGGATCAGAAGTGTAGCAGCCTAGTCTCAAACCAGCGCCCATATAGGATGCTAGCACCTCAAGTCAGGGCGTTAACCCCCTGCGCCACAGCGACAGCCCCAAGCTTTGAAGTTCTATAGCTAGATAGAATCAAGCCAAACATTAAGGAAAAAAAGAACTGAGGCAAACATTCAGCCTAGCAGTTAAGACGCATTGAAGTGCTCACATCCATATCACCAGAGTGCATGGGTTCCATACCTGGCTCTGGCTCCTGACTCCAGCGTCCTGCTACTGCAGATCCTGGGAGCTTGAACCAGCAGCGGTGGTTCAAGTAACTGAGTTCCTCCCACCAACATGGGAAATCTGGATTGAGTTTCTAGCTCTGGCCCTGTCTAGTCCCAACCACTGTGACCACATAGAAAGTGAACCAACAGATAGGAGCACTGTGTGTGTGTGTGTGTGTGTGTGTGTGCGCGCGCGCCTTCCTATCAAAAAATAAACAGAAAAATTAGGGGGAAATGGAACAGGACCTACCCCTAGCTACACAGTGCCAAAATCTGTGTCAATGTAATTATCAGGTTTTTTCTTTAATCATTTTAAGTTCTTAACCACCTTTTATTAAGCTCTTTATTCCATGTGGATTGAGACAGCCATTCCCTTAGATAGAATAGTTGGAGCCAGACTTAGTTCTTGGCACACAACAATCCACTCACCCAATTTTAGCACCTAAGTCATCTACTCGCCACTCCAGCTCCTCTGAGGAATGTATGGATTCTCCTTCCTATGACCACCAACAACTGCAATATTATATATTACTTTCTCAACCACCCCTGTTCTTAACCTTAATTTTCTCTATTTCCTCTCATTTTCAAACCTCCTTTCCACATTTGACGGTACTGGCACTCAAATACACCAACCACAAAATGAACACCAAAGAACTCAAGGGTGGGTGTTTGGCCTAATGATTAAGATAGTACATGAGAAACCCATATCCCATACCACAGTGCCTGGGTTCAAGGCCTACCTCCCCTCTCAGTTCCAGCTTACTACTAATGAAGACTCTGGGGGGTAGCAGCTGATGGCTAAAGTATTTGGATCTTTGCCACCTGTGTGGAAGACCCAGATGGAGTTCCAGGCTCCTGACTTTGGTCTAGACCAACCCCAGCTATTGCCAGCATTGGAGGAGTGAACCAGTAGACTGTTCAATATGAATCCATCAATCTCTTGTTCTCTTTTTAACAAATTAAAAAAATTAAATAAAAATGAACAACAGGCAGGACAATCTATGGAAGAGCACTGGCCTCTTCAG